AATTTAATCAGGTTTGTAGCAGCACCATTATCGAGTATAAGTGTGATGAAGCGATTTTTTCCTTCTAGGACAGACAGCCCTATGCTTGTAGACTCGTCGTCTACGCCAAGTCCCTGGCACGTATCGATGTGGACGACTTTAATTCCATTGCTATGTTCATTACTTGCGCTAAAAAATTCATTGTAGGAGTTGAATTTTGTCTTTGGGAGCTCACCTCCAAACGATGATTTGGATGAGCCGCCTGAGAGATTAAATGATGTAGCAAACAATCATCTCCTAGTAGGTACGGATTTTGATAAATCTGACGTTGATAATTAGGTCACAAACTTTTTTTGTTATAATTATTATTTTGAGGGTATCTATTATAACTCTGACCTCTGTGGATTACAATTAGCACTTTTTTTTTAGTATAATAACCGTTAAGATTCTCGTTATGATATCATCCAAAATTATTCTGATAATAATTAGAGTTCCTCAACTGATTATAAAAACTCTGATCCCTCCCCTGATTCTAATAATTTCGGAAGTAATCATGTCCATTACTATATTGTTGATATTGTCTATTATTATTCTGATAATTATTATACTGCCTATTAGCATTGTGATTCTAATCGTTGATTTTTTGTTGATTAAGTTGTCCTATTTAATCCAGCGAGAATGGTCAGGATACCATACCTATTCTACTGTTGATATGACTTATTTAAAGTATTTCTCGAATCACTGCGAGGTAGTCCTTGGTATCGTGTGTCTAGGATTATACCTCACTCTCATTCGGCTCTCTAATCTTAACGCATAATCGAAGGCATCGACTAGGGAAGCAGGTTCTTTCGCATCTACCTGCTGGCTTATCATAGGTGCTAGTCCTTTTATGAACATGTCTAACGCCATGTCTATTATTAGTATTCGCCAGCTGATTGGCATTGTCGTTGATGCACTTTCTGCAAACTATTTTTTTTCCAGAGGGCTCTCTTTTTTTTCTTGTGCTATTGGACAAAAGTCTATGTGTTATATGTACATGTGTGTGTGTATTTGTGTGTGTGTATTTATATAAAGTGACTGATGTGGACTCCACGTGCTTTGAGAATGTTTACCAATAACATTAAAAAGTTATGCGGACGGTTCTTGTTGACTTCATGTGTTGAGGCTTAACGGCTTGCTTCGGTTATCACTTAAAACTTCTGAGAGCCACGAAGTACACAAACTGCTTTGTTGGGTGACAACTTTCGTTAAGGATGACTCTTTTAAGAGTCTTAAAATTTTATTATTAAGAAAGGGAAAAATTAGATAAAATGAAATAATAAATTTATTTATGTATGCAAGACATCACTCAACAACAAGCAGTAAATAAATTTTTAATTAAAAATAAGTTACAAACAATACTATAATAATGAGTAAGGGGTTTCTCTACATATCAATACAGCTAGCTCCTGGCAGAGTAAATACAGTACTTGACTAGCATACAGGAGGTTACTGGTTTCAATTTTGGGAAAACTGTTTTTTTTTTTTTTTTAGAAGAATTAGAGTATAAGAATTAAAATTCCAAATGTACTTTCTTTACGTATGTGCTTTAGTAAAGTGGGGTGATAAGTGGTAGGGTGGCATAAAGGGGGAAATTAAATGTTTAATTCACTTTCGTCACATATTTTCTCAAAGTCATGATTCTGATATCGGTTTATTAACTCTAACGCAGAATGCAACCATAGAAGATAACTTATTTGGTATAATAATGTATATCAATACAAACGTATTCAGTATAATCATCATGTTATTAATTATATGTTTTTAGCATTGGTAGAAGAAACCATTAACGTTATTTGTATTTCAGTTTAATAACTCTTATTAAATGCAGACAATATGCACAATTTCATCCATTAATATAACATTTGTAATAAAATGTTTTTTTTGTATTTTTTTCAGAGTTTAGACCTCTTATATATAAAACCGTATGAAAAATTCTTTCAACTAAAAGATAGCACTGCCATAATAAGTTCTATAAAAATATAATCAATTTTAAAGCCACAAATCATATGCAACTCATTGGAAACCCATGGAAACATTAAATTTTTTATCATTTTGTACGCAGAATTATCATACAGTTTCAAATCATCCTTTGATATTTTAATTTGAACTTTGTTCAATAACCGTAATATTAAATTGAAACAAAAAAAATTTGTATGGAATAACTTGAAAATTAAGTACTTAAACAGAATTTGTGAACGTTTTGTATTAACATATCGTTAAACAATACATCTAATATCAAAAATGGGGATTGGCACTTGGTGCGCGCAAGAAGGATAATTCCTACGTGCATACGCGAGTTTATGCGCCCATGTGTGCATATATAAGAACATACAAACACATACATAAAATCGCAAGAAAAAGAAGCCACAGACCCACAAAAACAGAATTAATGATTATTACGACAGCTGAGATAAAAATACAAAAACAGAAAGAGTACAAGGTTAGAGACAGGTAAAGAGCTAAGCATATATGAAGAAACAAATCATGAGTTTATCAAACATTATGTGATCAAATTATAAAAACAGACATACCAAGTCATATATAGGAAAATAAAGAAGACAATACAGAGACTAAAGTAACAGAGAATAAAACATACGAATGTTTTAAGAACAATATAGTTATAAAAATGAGATAGTATTCACCAAACAAAAAAAATTTTAATTTTTAGAAACTAATTTAATACTTGAAGCTAAGTAGTAGTTACAAATGTTAACATAACAAACAATATTGAGATAGCTGTCTGCATTACCGACAGGACTCACAATGTAACTCAAATATGCGTAATATACTTAATTAAAAAATTGAATATACTCAAATGGAAGATTTAACTGATTTTAATGAAAAATTTAATACACCCAACAGAAAAATTGTATTGTAACTTTTTTATGATCACCAAAATTAGGCATAATATGCTAATTTAAATATCAGTGCATTCCATGCTTAGAGTTTTAATGATAACTATCTGTTTATTTCTCTTGGGATATGTACAGTAACTACATTACATTTAACTGCAAAAGATACTTTGTATTTGCGTTATTTTAATGTGAATGATAACCAGTTGTTTTGATGTCGTTTGTGTAACTTTAATGTATGATGAATAACTAAAACTTGACGTCAGAGCTTTACCATAACCGTGAATGTAACTGTCAATATAACAAGAATTATTTGAATTCACGGTTTGTAATATTTTCTCTGTGGATTTGGGATCACCTTTAGGGGTTCCAGTAAGCAAATTATACATGTTAATATTATAAATCAACTTCGCAATTAAAAGTTGCATCGAAATACATGTATAATGTAACAATTATAAATTTTTAGAGTTAAATAGTATATTACGTACCAAGGGACTAAAGCAAGCCAGTTCGTGGCTGTTGTAGTGTGCGCCCGAGCGTAGCGAGGGCGCTACAAGCAATAGCCACTCGCTGGCTTGCTTTAGTCTCGCGGTGCGTATACACTTTTATATCACACTCAGTGGAAAGTTCGTTACATTGAGAGGGAGAGAGATAGAAGGAAAACAAGCCATTCATTGTGTGGTTATAGGTTATATCACAAGAGTTTTTATAATTGTTTCCGATTGTGATATTTAGGATATTCCTGTATTTTTGTATAAAATATGGCAACAGTTTCGACAGTCATGTTTGAAGAGGATTCTTCTGACGAAGAAAACTTTAACGAGGATAAAGTAGGGGAAGGAAGAGACTTTGACTGTGAACGAAATGCCATTGTTCAAAATTTACTTCCCATAAAATCGAGAGCATTATATGAATATGCATACGCTCGATTCTTACAATGGAAGCATAAGAACAAGGACCTAATTATTTAACTCTTTTAATGAATGTGTTTCGAAATGTAATAATTTCAATAGTTTATTATACAAGATTGATAAAAATGAAGAACTGTAAAAATGCAGTTATTATTTAAAAATGTGTGAACAAAGAAAATTGTATAACAATTTTAATTATTTCCATTTGTTCAGAATCTCATGTTTTTTTTTGTATAAAATACACCAGCAAACAGTACATTGGCTTCTTTTATCTTGTTGATATTTCCCAAATTTGTTTGTTTACTGCAGTGTGGCGCCCTCGCTATGTTCGAGCACCGAACTACTTCAGGCACTTATTGGTTTATGTATATAGTAATATACAGTAAGATATAGATACGCATGCGTACACGCACTTATTACACAGTTTCTGTCCCTGTATACAGGGAGAACAGTACGAACTTTACGCTTAGTGTGATATAAATAAATTTTTTTCTTTTTCTACTACTAAAAGATGAAAAGGAAATCCTCGAATAAATAATCCAGGCTTCTTCTCACGTACCCACAATCAACGGAGGTACTTAAATCGACCTTTTTTTGTTAATAATATTTTGATTATATGAGCACGGGGACCTTAAACAAGGATTAATAACGTGTTTTGTTAATAATTAATTTTTACCAAAAATAGATAACAAATGGCAAAATTTATTGTTTTCCTTCAAGAATTTTATTTTATATTCTGTATGGTTTTTCAAAGACAGAGTTTTTTTGTCAAATATATGCGTGAATAGCTTTTGTCTGAAGATTAAAATAAAATTAGTTAGAGAAATCATGACTTTTACAGTTTTTAACTCAACATATTAGCGATTGTGACGTTATATGATTCATTTAATACATCCATACACACATACATGCCTACGGATAAACACCTTAGTGAAAATAATTTTTTTTAGACACTTACCCTGAATGAAAGCATTGCAGAAATGGCGTTAGTTATAATAAAACGTAAACCCTGCAGAGTTATCTATAGCCAACTAAGAAGAAACAACACGCAACGTTGCCATTCATACAGATTACCACTAATACCCATGGACGTAGAGAGTGTCATGTAACGTACATAAATTAGTCCCTTAACGAAAATAACTATACAGGCAATTAATACAAACTTAATTTATATCTTACTCTGCTCATGTTATAAGTATAAGAAGACATAACTTACTTGAGGACCGTGTTCTACATTCAAATCAAAAGGATTTCCAACTATCCTGGCTTTAGCTCTAGCAGCACTTTTTTCAACGAACTCATCGTAAATTGAGCTTTCAACGTATGTTCGAGAACCAGCACAACAGCATTGTCCCTTAAAAGTTAAAACTTTATTCTTGCATACCGAATAATATAATTTATTTATCTGCTTAGAGCAAAGTTATTTTTGATAAATTCATTGTATTGAAAAATTATTAGGAACAAAAATATTACCATGTTAAAAAATAAACCAAAATGGGCAGTTTCAACAGCATGATCCAAATCAGCGTCTTTAAAGATAATGTTTGGAGATTTTCCTCCTAATTCTAACGTTGTTCTTTTTAAGTTAGTCTTAGCAGCTCCTTCTTGCACCAATTGTCCAATTTCTGTAGAGCCAGTGAAAGCAATTTTATCAACGTTACGGTGATACACTAGAGAAGCACCTGCATCACCATAACCTGGGACAACATTGACTACGCCAGAGGGAAATCCTGCCTCTTTTGTTAGTTGTGCTAAGTATAAGGCAGAAAGTGGTGTTTGTTCTGCTGGTTTGAGAACAATACAGTTGCCTTTGAAAATTATAGAATTTTTTATAAAAAAGACCAAATGTTTTTTAAAGAATTTGAATTTATTAAAAAAGAGTACTTAATATATAAATAACTTAGTTATTAAGCAATTCATATATTTCACCCTTTTAAATGTTATTTGAATGACAAACTTATTCTTATCACCTGTAGCAAGAGCAGGGGCCAGTTTCCATGCTGCCATTAGAAATGGAAAATTCCATGGTATGATTTGTCCACAGACACCAACTGGCTCATGCCTGGTGTAAGCAAGAAATTTACCATCCATAGGAATAACTTTTCCATGATTTTTGTCAGCCAGGCCTGCGAAGTACCTCATTGTTGATATGCTTGACGATATATCAAAATTATAAGATGCTGAATATGGTTTACCATTATCCAACGTTTCAAGGGACTAAACAATAAAAAAATAAAGATTAAAAAATACTCGAGAACTTAAAATACATCGATAAGCTTACAGCAATGTATTGACGATCACGTTCCATTAGATCGGCTAGTCTGTTTAAGAGAAATCCTCTTTTAGATGCATCCATAGTTCTCCAGGATGAACCAAACTTAAAAGCCTTTCTTGCAGATTCTACAGCGATATTTATGTCTGCAGCCGCACCATGCTGAACACAAGCAATAACTTCTTCTGTCGCTGGATTTATAGTTTCAAATTTTTTGCCAGACTTTGATGTATGCCACTCATTGTCGATAAAAATCTAGTACGACATTTTGAAATTTTGGTTTAAAATCAGAAAATACTCTCATTTCAGTAATATGTATTTTTTTTTATTTAGTTACAGGGTCAAAACTTTATTTTTATACACAATATATGTTAAGATGTTGAAAAATCAACGATTATAATTGTCTTCTTCGCTGTTATCATGTAAGACATGTAGCTGGTCTGTTAAATTAATGAAATATGCCTTTGTTTGGTGCTTAGTTCAACTCTTTCACTAATCAAACAAAAAAAATCAAATATTAATAAAAGACAAAACAACGAAGCAGTAAATATCTCACTATCGAAAGTAAGACCCTAATATTGGCGTTATAAGCAAGAATCTGATCCATTAAAATTACAGAAAAGAATTTACTGTGTTAGAGTAAACACCTAGATAGGTCCCAAGCGAAGGCTAACAATAGTTATCTCATTTTTAAAATAATATTCAAAATCTGAGTTGTGCTAGTCTTTATTGGAGTCATCTGTGTTCCCTTGTTTTCAAAATAACATTTTTTCACTTATCAAACACTTTTGTGCATCAACAACCTGACATTATTTCCCCGACAATCTTTCACTTCCAAAATATAACTATACGTCTCAATTTCTGTAATTCCGAAAAAAAAAATTATATCACATAACTTTTTTTTTTTCATAAAAATAATGTTTAAAACAAGAAAGTATGCAATTTGATATACTTGCATCGTAGACTTAACATTTTTAAAGTAGCACTAACAAATAATTACTAGTATAAATTCGTAGAGCTCGGACATAAAATATTTCCTTCAAATCTAAAATATTACAATTTTTTGTTTATATAGGTAAATATAGGTAAATAATCTATACTAATTAATCATCTAGGCTTTGCAAATCTTACACAGATTATAGTTTCAAATCTAACTGTTATGTGAAGACACAGAGTTCGTTTACATGGTTGCAAAAATCTTAAAAACTACTCAGCCAATCGTTTCCAAATTTTGGTAAAAGTTTAATGGCAAGTTTTAATGTGACATAGCGAATAATTAGTCATGACTATAATAGAAACAAGTCAGATAAAATGGCCTATTTGAAGTATTGCTAATCTATGTTCAGTACATTCACGCAAACTTTTTTTCTCGATAGCAATAGAGAGTTCTATGTTAGAACTACTACTTGCAGAATACTCATATCTTCCTATATCATATGATTGTAAGAATTTTAAGCAAGTTTCTTCTTCTTCTGCTCCTCTTTGTTTTCCCTAGCTCCCTCGTAACAAAGTAGTTTTTCTTTCGTTTTATTTTGACGAGCTGTAAATTTTTACTGGCTCGCCCTACTTTCCCTCACCCAGCTAAGTCCCCATCAGACTCCTCTTCTTTCATCAATCGCCCTAAATAAATAAATTTGTGTCCCTGCAGCAATAAAAATGTTACTTTAACCTCTTATTTGCCTTTGGAGACAATATACGTAAAATTAAAAAAATTATCGTCTTTTACTCCCTAGGCAAGAAATATAATACTTTTTTACAATTTTTTCTGATATTTAAATAGACAATGTAGCAAAAAAGCCATTTTCTGACATAGATGCCTCACTATGTATACAATTTGTTTTCGGAATTGCTGACCTCAACTCAGAAACTTTGGCGTATACTTACGTGTAAATGAAATCAGTTGCATTCAAGGGAATTTGTTCATAATTTTAGGAATAAAATGTAATGAACAATGTGCAAATATGCTTCACCACCCTTTCCAACGAATATTTAATACAATGATGACCTATTAGATAATTATTGAATATATTAAATAATACTGTATTAAAATTACAATATCTCAATTAATTCGTAGAATTTTCAAATTTTTATAAAAAATAACAAAAAAAATTTGACTTTGTCATTTACAATTGACAAACAAAGGAAAATTTTTGTTGTACGTCACCTTTTTTTCAATTTCTATAAAATTAAGTAGGAAGAGCAACATTATGTTGAAGTTAGAGAGCACATGAAAATATGACTTATAAAACCTTTAGAAAAATGCTATCGCTGTGGGTTTCAAAAAAAGTATTTCTTGGATTAATATTTTCAAAGACACTAATGCTATACTGCTTTTTTTTGAGTTAAAATAATTTTTGTCCGTTTTTAGATGATAAAAATATAAAAACGGTTTTACAAAAGATTTTGATGTAAATGACAAAAGTCGTAAACTTTTTTTTTTTAAATAAGATTCTTAAATTAAAAGATGACCTTTGTCACTCATTAAACGTATTAATACCAAATATACATGCTTTATAATGACGTAGAAACACTATTAAAATGACTGTCTTTAGATAAACTTTTTATGTATTGTTTATCTAATGAAACAGTAATAAAAAAATGTTTTTTGAAATTTTATGAGAACAGAATGACAAAACTTTAATTAAACTTGGTCCTGGATTATGAGGCAAAAATTTTTTATAAGAACTTGAAACTATTATTTTAATTTTGCAAGGATAAAAATGTATCAATGGCTTGCGCTAGCACTGCATACCTTTCAACTTCCAAAAAGTATAACCACAATAGAACTTTTTATTTAGCTTCAGATGTAACGAATAGTACAACTGGTTTAAAAGGCCCAGCATAAAAAAAAGTAAAATGAAGTAGATTTAATTACACGGATGAGACTTGTATGATGTTACAAAAAAATTTGAAAATATAAGACAAGACTTGACGTGATCAATGAATATGGAAATTTTCTAAGAAACAACTTTATAGTTTAAGGGGAAAATTTTGGTTGATTACTTTTCGTTTAAGAAGAAGATATCAAAGCATAATCGTGGAAGAAACTACTTATTTAATAACGATTTCGTTGATTTTTTTTTCTATATTTTAAAATTAAATTTTTGTATTTGTTTTGAAAACAAGCTAATTTAAAAAATTATTATTCTAAACAAGAAATAATAAATAAATTATAATCTTTGAGAAAAGCTATAACTATAAAGGTAAGTATTAAATTAGTAAAATAAACGAACCTCTACTAAAGAAAAAGAATAAATTATATCATTACGTATATTTTACCGGAAGATTTTTATTTACTCACAACAATTTTTTTTCGTGTTTAAATAATTTGTTAATGTTTGATACGATTTTGTTTTTTTTTTTTTAATTTATCAAAAATTATAAACAGAGAAAAAATTAGAACAGAAGTTCTTAAACCACAAATGACTATTAATAAAAAAAATGCATCTTTATTACTAATTATTTTAAGCAGAAAACAGTTTTCTTTAGTCTTAGCATTTTCTATGACAACTAACAAATTTAAAATTGATGACAAAGAGTTGAACCTAATTAATATTAACTTCATATTTCAATGAAAAAAGAGAGGATTTTTGTCTTTGCGTGGCAAATAGAGATACTGGCGAGATGTACTGTACAAACATTCCGTAAGCTTATTTATTGTTTTTTGACTGAGTTCAATTTTACCATGTAATATTCGTATTTATCTTCAAAAACACAATTGATAATAATGAGGACTAAAAAAGGAATCAGCATTCTATAGTGATAAATCAATGTTAGTTCGAAAATTTGCTAAGAATTTATACACAAAATAAGATTGTGATAAATTTATGGACAAACATAAAATAAAGATAAAAAAATATAGTTTTTCAAGTATTGCAAACAAAAATTAATTTATTTTTAATGTTTCAAAAAGATAAAAAGGTACTGAACCTGTTGCACAAAATAAAATAAGAGTTGTAGGACTAAGCTGTTTTGCAAGAAAGTTAAATTACGTTACAATATATTAACGTTAATGCTGCCAAATCGTATGTAGTACATGGAAATAAAATTAAGAAAAGTGTATTCATTAATGTATCATTACTTAATTTTACATCGCACTATACATCTTTCACTTTTAAAATAAGAATGTATTTATAATATTTGGTAGTTTTAATTTTTAAATACAGTTTATTAGGTGAAAGGCTTTTACGAATGTTATTTAGAATCGTAAGACTGAATTTTATTTCAATGTCTTCATTAGGCCTATTAACACCTTTATGTATTGCACGATATATGTTGTAACAAGCTTTTACATCTCCTTTTAGAAAATTCCAAATTTCATTATTCATAAAGTAAGTGTTTTTGCTGTGAGAAGTAAATTTTAAGCTTATTACTAAATGATTAATATTTTTACTAAAAATTTGCGATAAAATAGTACTTTTAAAGCTTTTGTCGAATCTATTTATCTTAATTTTTTTACTGATACCAATTAAAAACAACGTATTTAATATTTTTGAAATTTATCAGTAAACAAAAGAGCTTATAACTAGTCACTTTTTGGAAAGTTATTCAGATGCAATATCAGTCCGAGCTAATAACATT